CCTTCCGCCACTTCCTTCCGCCACTTCCTTCCTTCCTTCCTTCCGCCACTTCCTTCCGCCACTTCCTTCCTTCCTTCCACCACTTCCTTCCGCCACTTCCTTCCGCCACTTCCTTCCTTCCTTCCTTCCTTCCTTCCTTCCACCACTTCCTTCCGCCACTTCCTTCCGCCACTTCCTTCCGCCACTTCCTTCCTTCTGCCACTTCCTTCCTTCCTTCCACTGAAGGCTTACCTCAGAGAATAAAAGTATCTTCTGATTTCTTAAAGGCATTTACACAAGCAGTGCTCTATAGCCCTATGGCCAGCACATCTGACTTTATCCAATCCAACTGAAACTAATGTGCTTCCACTGCAATCAGCAATTTCTTACTTTCTGGTTTTATCCCAAAAGCTGACCAAGAGATAACAATGATTTCTGCAAACAGGAGAAGTCTGACTGCTAGACTTGAAATGCAAATAAATATCCTACTGCACTCTAGGGAAAACATTCTAAATTAACAAAGCAAATAATCTAAAGATCCTAACAAGCAATTAGGCAGAAACAATGATATCAGAAAGATCAGTCTCTTTGTAATACACTGTTTCCACTCACATGAGAACAGTAATTGTGGTATGTGGAAATACAAAACCAGAATAAAACCTCTACCCACACAGTTTTACTATACAAAATTAATCTAACGCATTTTCCTAATGTTGTACAGGCAGCTAATTAATTGTAGACCACGTAATTGTCACAAGATTAACAAAATGCTTTTATGCAGGTAGTAAACACTGCTTGCTGAGAATATTATTCTATTCAGTAAACAGTGTATGAACTTAATAACTGCAGGAAAATTCCATTTCTCTAACAAAGAGACCAGTGACCTTACTGAAAAAGCATTTCACTGTGCCTTTCACAAAAGCTCTCAATTAGGATGAGGAGCACATTGTACAACAGATACAAGGATTGAGAATCCACTCACCTGACGGCAGCTGTGATAAATTACTGAAAACTTTGCTACTGAAGCTGAAAAAACATAGGGTATTCATTTTAAAGAGAAAATATTTTCATGGCAGTACTTTTTGATTTTTGCTTGTGTGCTGTTTTAAATGCAAACCCCAAGTAATTTCAATAGGGAATCATTTAAATATATCAAAACACCCCTATGATGAAAAATAACAAATGAGTATTTCAACTACGTATAGATATTTGTGTACTTATTTGCAGAGGAAAACTCAGACCTGTGCTTAATTGAAGGATAAGATAAGCAGTGTGTGCATTTATATAGAAGTCCACATTTATAAACATAGAATACATGTATTAAATTATTGTTGTAAAATATTACATATACAGCTTACTACATATAACACGCAATAATGCACATAAAATCTGCAATCATTTTTATTAAGTTTTTTTTTTTTTTTTTGCTATTCTTATTGCATTTCCCTTTTGCACTAGTTATTACGATTGCTATCTATGATGCCTTAAAGACAAAAGCAGTGGTATATTCATGCAAAGGCAAAACCCGAAAACAGTGGTGACAACAGGTGGTAGCAAATTCATGGGGCAGAACTCCAACACTGCAAAACAAAAAATCAAAACAGTCATGCAACAGAGAGTTTGATATTCGGTACATAATGCAGCAGTATCACTCAGCAGAGCGAGGTAATTCCAGAAACCAGGAGGCAGCTTTAGAGCCCCTGCAGCAGGAGCAGGTCCTCTCCTCCTCTGAGCAAGCCAGTGTCACACCCAACAGCTGAGCCATCACTGCCTGCTCAAGCAGCACCAAGCTGCGGGAGCAGGGCACACCAAGCTCCTGACTTCTGCCTCTGGACAAAGATTCCCAGGGATTAAGTGGATGTGACTGGCTACTTGGGTGAACTCCAGCCTATTTCATGATTAAAGGAAAGCAATTTTTTAGAACACTGAACCAAGTCTGGAAACATTAAGCTACAGGGACAAGAGAAACTCACAGTTGGGAAATCTTAACCACGACTTTGAAGTTGTAACACAGATGCTATTTAACCTTGAGGGGGAAAAAACCCCAGAAACCCAAATAATAGCATTGAAGCAAGTTCAGCTGCTCTGAAAACTTAGAACAAAGCAAAACTAAGAGCTTCTGTGAGTTAAAAGCTAGCATTAGTATGCCTTTTCTTTTATATTTACTTTTCGTCATTTGCATTACAGCATTAAAGTCTTTACATGTAATTTCTTTACTCATATTTTCCATTAATCTACTAGAGTTTGGTAATGGTACCAATACATTTTCTTCTCAGCTCAAAGACAACTTTGCCAGCAGGAATTCTCAGCATGCTGGGAGTAGCCCCACTGAAAAGTTGTGGCAGCAAAAGTACCTCAGGTGGGTGTGTTAGAGGTCCTGTGGTACCAAGGGCACAGCACAAGGCACACCAACACACAGAGAAAAAGGACAGAAATGAGGTACCTGTCTACTCAGGTGTTTCAACAAATAGGGGCAAGTATAAAATGAAAATCTCAGTGTTTTTGCAGAATATCTGGCTAGACTTAAATGCCTGTGTTTATGAGGTAATTACCAAGTCCAAAGTGAGACATTTATACAACTTTTAAAAGTATGAACCTGAAGAAAACTCTTATACAACCCCTTCAGAGCTTTGCCATTTATACCTATAGTCTTACCATTTATCAAAGCTCTTAAAGTCCTTCCAAATTCTGCCATTGCCTATTGGTCTGGCATTGCATCTTGATAATGCTGGGAATCTTGGTGTTCCTGCTCCAAAAGTCAAAAGGCATCACTAAATCCTTAGGACATATCTGGCAAGCATCCTGGCAAACCTCTGAAGTACTCCAAGAGGTGCTGGAAAACAGAAGATGCATTTCAATTGAAATACCCGTTTCCCTTACTGTTTAACTCATTTATAAATACAAACAGGTTTTCGCATATTTTAAAGAAAGTCTTGTGCAAGTAAAAGAGCTTTTGCTGTGTGAAGAAGCTCCTACTACAGCCTAAAAAACCTTTGTGTTCCATGTCCTAATTAAAAAACAAATCTTCAGAAATTTCATTTGAAGCAACACTGGGCAGCACTGTAGTCTAATATTTGACAATGTTCATCCTCCTAAGAGTGTTAAACTTCACACTATGCCAGTTTAGACCACAAGATGAGAAAGACTCCAGCACAGAATGCACCAATATTACATCCTATTTGTCAGAAACTGGGTTGCATGTTACAAAATTAAAATTGAAAGCTAAGTAGTGGAGAACTGGTCCAGACCTTGGCTTCATGATTCATCCAAAGGACGCCATTAAGAATGTACAGTTTAATGGTCCCATAATTTGTTTCCAAAATTGCAAAGGAGTGCTAGACAAGTGTTTCAATAATCTTACCTCTGTCTTAATTTAAGTAATAGCAAGATAAAATAATAACCACAAACAAACAACTCAAACGCAAAATAGTCCACATTTTATTGCAGTAAAGAAATTATACCCAATCTTAGAAGAAAGAGGATTCATAATAATAATTTGCCTGTGCAGAGCAAGAAAATAACATATTGCAAAAAATGACTTTTTGAAAAAAACAAACCTTATTTCAAATGCTGTCTCCCTTGAAAATTCAGAATTTATTTTCATACTTACATTTTCTACAAAGAGCGAAGTAATCAAAACTAACTGAATTCTGGAGGATAATGAAGCACACCTGCAGAATTAGGCAGCAGTTAAGGCTGACAGTCTCAATTGCTGTTTTAGACATGGTTTCAATTTTGCCAAGAACCACTTATCTTTGTAGAATGTAGCACTATAATTGCGTAAAGCTCCAACAAAGGCCACTCTATGCTGACTTGCATAACCATCTTTTCTACTTTTTCACAAATCATTTCCTTATTGCAGTGTCTTGGGTAGAGATGGTAGTTTAAAGTTGAGCTGTTCCCCAGATGTTTCCCAGAGCACACATATAACAACCATATATACATTTCTTCTGTTGATGCACCTCTGATTTCCTGTCTAAGATCAGCATACTTGATTAACACCAGTGGACTTGATCCCATAAGATAGTAACAATCTACATCTTGTGTAAGTTTACAGACTCCGTAGAAAGCTGAGTGAACCCTCATGATCCACTTTTCAGTTACAGATTTTCACATCAAATGGCACCTGTCTCTTGCCACGCCGTTGCTAACTGCCTTGAACCCAGTTTTACCCCCTGAAGTTCCTAATCTGCTCAACTATTTTTGATGTAAGATACAAAAAGTTTTGAACAAGTCCAAACTAAAACACATCTATTCATTTTTAACCACCTTTTCACTGCAGACCAAAACTTTTGAAATTTATTTTTTGATCAGAGACTTAACAAATACTTTTCAGAAACACTGTGTTGATTTCCACCTAGGAAAACATAGGATCCAATCTAAGACCAAAATCTGAGAATTTGAGAAATGGGAGGATGGGTCAATGGTGTTCCATAGGGAAAAAGTCTACCTAGCTGCAGTCACTGCTGGAAAAGGCTCATGTGGAGCAGAGCTTGTGTTTTTACAGCTTCTTACCCTCATAGGCATGTGGTACAGTTATGTCAAGGACACTATGTAGAAAACAAAACAGATGAAGGAATGGAGCTCTGGAGAAGGAATCAAAAGGTGCTGAGGCTTTTAGGTGTAAATGGGACAGAAGAATGATGGGAGACAGCAAAGGTCACCTCACCTAGCCTGGACTGGGCAGACAGCTTGACCTAGCAAGGGAAGCTGGAGCTGCTCTCAAATGGCAGAGAGGCTCTATGGCCATTGGCTCTGTATTCTGTGGAAATGCAAGTAAGTCAGTGTTGTGGCCTTGTGTGGAGAAAAGGCTCAATTATCTTCTTATCAACGAAAAGTGTGACAGTGAACTAAAAAAGAAATTTATCTTAGAACTGTGAAATAACATTAATTTATTTGTACACACTAACAACACTTATTTCAGTATATGCCTCCACAGCACAGATATCCAGAAAAACTTACTTCTTTTTTAAGAAGTAAGTTTTTAAGAAGGATCAGTCACATTTCTAAGGAGTCAGAATGTCCTGCTGGCCTTTTAGCAGCATGCTTTTAGCCAAAAATTCCATAACGATCTAGCTGCTCTTTCCCACTGAGGTAAAAGCAAGTACAACAATTGCGTCCATTTGCAATGACATAAAACAACCTGACTCAAGTGGTCCTTCTAAAGGCATTACCATCATCTAACCTAACTGCTATTAAAACTAAAAATGAGATTGACCTTATTTTTCAAACACTTCAGTGTAAATTAAAAGACACCAAAAAAAATCACACCCTGAGAAACTGCAGTCTTCTCGAAAATTCTTTATGAACCACTCTAAACTAAGATTTTACATAATGGAAAACTAACCAAAACAAACTCTTTCTAATTAGATACAGTCTTGAAAACTATCATATATCTTGCAAGAAAACCAAGCACAATTTTCTAATTTAACAAAATTGGCTTGTCCTCTACTTACATGCAAGCACAATATTATAAATAATTCACTAATACTTTTAAAACTCTTTCCAATGAAAGAAAATTTCTGGTTTGAGACACTGCTGTCATGCAAAAATAACTAATCTCTAATATGAAATTAATTCTCTTACCCCCAGAAATCTAGATTGGAAATTTTTCTATTCAGTTCATCCCATATTTGCAGTTTGATTCCTTGGCCTAGCAAAAAAGTTGGCAACTTCAAACTGTCTGGCAAAGTTGCAATAGATGGGTCCAGTGACTGATTGGCCTATACTGGACCTCTGTGGATTGCAAATTATTTATTGCAAATTGAATTTCATTTTTCTAAAAGACAAACACTCTGGACTACATGACTTAGAATTTGTATATAAGGTATTCTGTATTTTTTTTAAACTTCAGATTTTAAGTTACTGAACATCTAATTTTGCCCCTGTGGAGACTGAAGGGAAGAGTCATTGTTTCACTGATTTGCAGTTTTGGAGGGGAAAAAAAGCAAAACATTAAAAACTATGATTAGCATGCAGGATGAGAGACTCATAGAGATGGGGAAAAAAAATTAATCAGCACTGGAAGCAGGAGAGTTTAGCAGCATGTTGAATTCAGAACTATTCAATGGAGTTCAGAACTCCAAATGCTTGTTTAATAGTTGTAAAAATCATCTTCTCTCACACAATTTTCTTCATCTTTGTAATATGGGATAGATTCAGAGGTTACACTACAAGTAGATTCTCCTTTTCACGGTGTACACCAGAATACAGGGTGAAGCCTAGTTGTACACAACCCCAAATTCAATGAAGATCTATGTTTAACCGCAGGACAGAAGGTGATTATTTTTGTGCAAAGATCATTCTGTTTTCTCAAATTTAGATGGATCTCATTGTATCTATGATTTCTAGAAAGAAGAGTGAGAAGTAATGGCACAAAACAGGATTTATTTTGAAAAAGAAGAAAAAATATTCTAGATGTGCACCCAAGATCTACAGATCTCCAGAAATCTTCATTTGATGTTAGGACAGTAAAATGTTCTGTCATCAGACATTACAAGACTATTTGGAAATAAGTAAATAGCTTTTTTTTTTCTTTGAGCTTCCTTCCCCACATGACTGATGCAAATGCAAGCCTAGGAAAATTGAATTGCTGCTTGGCTTGCATCTATTGCTGAGGAAAAAAAAATACAAAAAAGAGCTGTTAAAAGACAAATACTAAGTTGCGTACAGGAAGCTTTAATAAACAAAGATAAGAAGTGAAAAGACTATGAAATATTTGTAAGTTAATTCCCATCCACATATGTAGCTTCAAGACTACTATAGACCTTTACAGCCTGGCATTACACAAACACCAAGTGCTGTACAGCATAAGAATTTGTAGCATTTTTTTTATTCGTCCATCTGAGAATAAATGAATAATTTTTGTAAGAGAAAAAGCAGTATCATAATTTAAGTTTCAGCATAAATTAGTATGGAAACACATTTTTATATACTAAACACTTGTTCATTATAAACAACATTATTGTACAGCTGCTTTCTGTTCCTAGCCTGGATAATTACTGAAGTGTAAGAGCCACAGGCAAGGAGATGCAAAAAGGCATGTTGGTTTAGGCTTCTGATTCAGAATTCCTTAAGAAAGGAAACATGTCTTCCTTAGAATCCCAATGAAGTGTCATGAAAATCAGGTTGTCAGCTTAAATAGAGAAGGATACATTTCATTTACATATGTGCACTTATTCACGTACTTCAAATTAAACAGGATAACTGCGTAAGAACTTTGTCAAGTTTCTTTTTCTTATACACAGTCCTATCTTGAATGTGAACTCTGTCTCACTGGACCCTCCTGCTTTGAACAGAAGTTGTCCCAATATGCAGAATCCTCAGGTGCAACAGGAATACCAGATGCAACTAAGTCTTCAAAAGTCAATAATGTAAATTGTGGTTGGTTGGGCTCCATGGAGTGGACCTAAAGAAAAAACATATTAGCACATGAATCAATAAATATCAATTTTCTTCCTGTAAAATTCTCTGTCACATTTAAAGTACACATTGCTAACTGAAGAAGAAAGAAGACAGTCTATATTTGAGACTAATGTCACTTCCCCTCATTCAGGCTATGTAGTCATTACTAGAGGCATGTAACAGGCCATACAGAAAAACTGAGCTTTTTGTTGAAACACAGTTCACAAAACTGATTGAATAAGTTCTACAGAATGCTGCAAGTATGACAGAATGACTATTTGAGTCCAGTAAAGAGAAAGACCACCATCAAACAAACTGTACTTCATTCTTCAGCAGATAAAGATTATTTAAGTCAATTGTGTGAGGATTTATTTCACTAGGTGTGCCTATTTGTACTCATTTTAATACAGTAGTCACTAATGTTTTGCATGCTTCTCTCAGGCTCAAGTGCTACTTAAAAACTGAAGCGGTCACAATCAACCTGCAATTCCCCATGTTAAAACCAATTAAACGTGGACTGATATTAGAGATGATGGTGTCAGGGTCTCCATGATAGGTTCATCACTCCAACAAAAAGAAAAAATCACATTTCAAAGAAGAAAAAGATAGGAGTTTTTTGTTTGTTTTTTGGTTTTTTTTGAGCACACTACTGTGCAACCTGCTGTATGCCATCTCCAAATGTAATTGTTTGGAGACAGCAGGGCAGATAGTACAGCCTGCACAAATCAAACATAAATATAGCTGATTCTTCTAAATAGGCATTTGCAGGAGCAACCTATTCTTAATGTTTAATATTTCATAAAATTCAGTAAGGCTCCTCTGCAGTGGTGTTACTCAGTACATCAGACAAACTGACTCATTTTTGATGAGCTTGTCAGAGTTTCTCTGTGCGGCACTACAGCCTCTGGTGCATCAGCCACTCCTCCCAGTTTGGTGTCACCAGCAAACCTGCTGAGGGTGCACTGCACCATCATCCAGTTCATTAGTGAAGATGTGACACAGGACTGGACCAGTACTGACCCCTGGGGCACAGCACTGGTAACTGGCCTCCAACCAGACTTTGCACCTCTATCACCACACCCTGTGCTCAAACATTCAGCCAGTTTCCAATATACATCACTGTTTGCTTACCCAGTTCTCAGCATTTTTCTAGGAGGATCTTATGAGACAGTGCCAGAGACAGAAGGCACTGAAATACAGGTAGACAACTACCCACTGCTCTAACCTCATCTACCAGGCCAGTCATTTCATGACACAAATTTACTAAGTTGGTAGAACATGATTTTCTCTTGGCAAAGCTAGGCTGACCAGTCTTGGTGATTTCTTTGTCATTGCTGTGCCTGGAAATGGTGCTCAGGAGTAGCTGCTCTACCATCTTTCCAGCAGTCATGGTGAAGCTGTCAGATCTGTAATTGCCTGGGTCCTACTTCTATAATCTTTGGATTATTGAGAGGGGCCTTGCAATGCCAGCTGTATCCCATAAATATTATTGACTTACACTCATCCAGTTTGCTCAAGCATTCCCTGGTCTAATCCTCTTCCTCCAAGGGCACATCTTCCTTGCTCCTTCTTTCATCCCTGCAACCTGGGATTCCTGACATCCAGTCTTGCTAAGAAATATTGATGCAAAAGGGGTATTCAGCACCTCAGCCTCTTTCAACATTTGTCTTGTTGAGTAAAACCCTTCCCTCTGGCTTCTTTGCACTTCCAGAAGTGCTTCTTGTTGCTTTGAACATTCCTGGTCAGATTAAATTCTGTTTGAGCTTTAGCTTTTTAAACTTCATCCCTGGATGCTCAGATATTTCTGTATTCTTCTCATGTTACCCATTCTTGCTCCCACCCTCTGTATGCTTCCCTTTCTAAGTCCAAGTTTGGCTAGGACCTCACTGTTCATCCATGCAGACCTCCTGGCCTTTTTGCCTGACTTCATATGCAATGAGATGGAACTCTCTTGAGAGTGGAGATGATCTTTGAATCAAAAGCAGCTTTCCTGGCCTCAGCTTTCCACTGAGGCCCTATCCCACAGGACCCCTCTTTGTCCTGTGAAGAGAAAGTTCCCTCTCCTCCTGTTAAGGGTTGTGAGTCCTCCTCACTGCCCTAGGATCCTGAACTCCACCATCTCGTGCTGTTGGAACCCTGCAGCCACAGACAGATCTGTGCATGTTTACTCCTCATCCTGAGTGCACTGGTGTACAGGCACTTCAGAGACACTCCAGCACACTGATTTTCAGGAGAAGATTTGGGGAATTTGTTCATAATTGTGCCCTGTAGACCCTTCCTTCCTTACATCCAAGTGCTGGAGGTGACTTGGTCCAAGGTCAATTTTGAGGATTTTGTTTTTCCTGTCACATCAGTGAAGGTAGGTCAGTAAATAGGCAAAAAGCAAAAATTCTCCACATCAGTATTTGAGCAATAGGCTACTATTAAGAATAACTGCAGAGACAACAAAATGGTTTGTGCTTGTTGTAACAGCACAGAAGAACTCTTAGCTGTCAGTGCAGACTGAAAGTGAAAAAGATTGAGCTGTCTCTCACTTTACGTCCTTACACAAGTGACATGGTGTTGAGACATTTCTGCTCATCTGACATTCTGGAGATGAGGTAAAGCTGCAGGAATGGTGCCTAGAGCCATGCAAGTGACATTACAGATGCATACCAAGTATGAACCAAGCCTCTGAGCTAAGAAGTTGTTAACAGATGTAGTTTGAACCTCAGCACGTGCTTGTCTGAAGGAAGCGTGTCCTGACAGAATGCATCACAAAGCTTGTGAAGTACAGCAATAGATAGACAGAAGACACTGTCTATCCTACACAGGATTTATAAAGAATTTTAAACTCAGCCATCTTTTATTGAGACTAGCCTTAGATAAATGTCTAGATCTAGGTTAAGAGCATAGATAAACATTCTGTTCCCTCAAGCATACAGCAGTCACTAGCATTTTGATAAGACTCTTGACACTAGAGATTTTTAATTACAGTACATTGACATAACAATTGATCTTTCCTGGGAATTGTAGGTACATGCCATCATTTTGTGAAGAAAGCTGAAAATAGATGTTCTGCAAGCAGACCATAATGAATTACTCCTGTGATTGCAGAGAGGGAACTGACACAAACACTGACATCCTAAAACAACTGGGTAACATTTACCCACATGTTAAGCTAGAATGAACAATTTTTTCTTTCAACACATCTAGCAATAAATATAATAATTTTTATGGTTCTTTTAAAAAGAGAGAAGGTAACATCCATTTCCTCCATGTTCCTGTTAGAAGGAGGCCTAAAAAGGCACAATGCAATAGTACATAAATTTTCACTTAATTTCCTTACTGGGGAGTCACACAATGTGCTCTTGTTCTGCTGAAAGTGACCTTTCTTCATAGAACTGAAATAATGAAATTTAGGCCCATCACAAATGTAGTCAATGGACAAGTAAGCCTTTGAGACTCTTGATTCAAAGACTTTTCATCATAACCTTTGATATCATGACTATTTTTTCTATGGTACATTTAAGCTAAGTGACCATGATGGTGAAAATCAATACTTAAAAATCCTGGATTCCTGTAGAATACTTGAGTAATTAACTTTAGTATGTCCTGCCAAAAAAAAATGCACATAATTTCTTAAAAAATATTTGTCTACTGATTTATTACATTAAATCCTCAAAGGTAGTTTAACACCTCTTTTTCTCAATCTAAACAATATGAGTTAAAAGGTCTGCATCCCTTTGCTATCCATGAATATTGACTTTGTTACCATGATAGATAGTGTGTGTTACCACTTCCATGCTTTCATCCATTCCTATACTAATTTTCTTTTTTCTTTCTAGTTCCTGGTAGAATCTTTGTATCTAAATAACAGAAAACAACTAACCAATTTTCTTGTGAGCAACTAGAACAACAGAGAAAATCTGGCAGTTTGTCACACTCTCATTTGCTGACTGTCTGGCTGTTTTGGCTACAACTTGCCAATCTGCCTGTCCCTTAAATTTGACTTTTATTGCTATTTTCAGGACTGAGGTCTTTTTTAAATTACACAGAAAATCATGAAAAGCTTTTAAGTAGCTTTTCTCTTTCTCTCTACCGAGACACCACATGGAATGAAGACTAACACTGCTGTTCTTCCCATCTGTTGGTTGTTGCTGCTTGTCTCAAGGGTTATCTTGTCACAATGGTGTTTGAGCGATGGATCTGCTCTGGGATACACGCACTGACAGTCCCCCACTATAATCAACTTGGTGAGGTGTCACACAAGTTTAGCAGTCCAGATTGGTTCACTGTTTCCATTTCCCTCTGTGAAAACCATCTTTCCCACATGAGTACTAGCAGGCTGTGACAAAAATCACTTAATCTTCTCTTGAATGAACACATTAAATACATGCATTACAGACTTGACATTATCTGTTGCTGTCCTCTGAAACCATTTCTCCTTCACAAACTTTTCCTGAAATAGGCACAACAGAACTAGGAAAAACACTTCAGTAACACTGCTTGGTTCTGGTTAATACCATGCCTAAGATAAGCCTTCTTCTTGGCCCTGTTTATGAGATGACACACTTTTAGCTACACTCTAAGTTTATATTCAAGTGATCACTAAGAGATGGAACTACTTTCCAATTCCTTACATCAGAATCCTTCTGTGCAAATCCCTCCTGTTTCCCAAGTGCCACTGCAACATGATGATTGCCATCCAAGCGGGTTTCCTAGTAAAGATCAAAAATGGCAATGTAAATGCATTTTCTTTTATCTGTTTCCAGAGTACAGAGTATATAAGTGTTTAGAGTATGGTTCAGAACAATAGCACAAGACCATTTAAAGTACTTTAAAATAATGACATTCAAAAAGCAATAGTACTTTTTAGCAGTTTTCCTAAAGAGTTCAATGATGCAGACACATTAAATGTTCACAGGGCTGAGGACAGATTACTACAGGTTACCACCATCTTATCAATTTGTAAATATTTGTACTCAAGTTTGTGACCTAAGCATTCCTTTACCAGTCCCTTTTAACTCCCAAACCATTTAACCCATCTTAGTTACCCTTTTCCAGTGAGATGAACTGTGAACCTCAAGAAGGTATTCTGAAAAACAGTTATGTCAGAGTAAACTTAAACCAATGACTCTTTCCCTCTTGGCTTCAGACAGCATGTAAGAGCACAGCTTTGAATTCCTGACATAGTCTGTGTACTGCTATGTGTAAATACTAATCAACAATTTTTAGATGCATAACTATATATTTAGTAATGTAGAGTTTTATCTATTTAATAGTTTGGTTTGAAAGTGTTTTCTTCTAGAAAGACTAAAAATTCATCCCAAACAATTTCAGGATAAAGAACCTCAAAGACATTTACTACTTCTGAATAATCATTAATCCATAGCCAAGCCATAATTCCATAGATTTTAAAAATATATATATCTAAGGGGACAAAATAAAATTTTCCATGCTTATTTATTCAAAAGCTTTCATGTATTTTCTGCACACTTTCTAAACTAGAAATCAAGAATAAGAAGAATTTTACCTAGGAAGGTGATCTGTTTTGATACTGCCATTCATCTGAAAATTAGAAAGTCATTGGGATATTCTCCTGGGACTTAAGACTGAATCTCCAATTTTGGCTTCCTTGGGAAATATTTTAACTGCACTATATTATAATATAAAGAAAGCACCATGATTTCCTGCTATTTCCTCTGACATGTGGTTGGTTGCCTTATTTTTCTCCCCCTTTAATCTAAGCAAAATGTGTTTTAGAAGAATGGTGTCAGTGGGCATCAGGCTTTTCTACAGTTCATCTAACATACAAAATTTTCAAAGGCTTCAGTTGCCAGGATACCATTCCTGTGATTCCAAAACAGCCCTGTGCATACATATATATAAATATATATATATATATATATATGTAAATAAAAAGCCAAGCTGCTCAGCTCAAATCTACTCATCCCAGTCCAGCCAAGGCAGCATTGGAGCTGCATCCAGTCATGTGGAGCACTAGGACAACTGTAAGGTTGGGGAATGTTTCTGGCAAACATGGTGCCTTGGCTGAGAGGCGCTGGTGAGGAAATAGAACTATGCTTTTACTTTGATCTCTTCAGCACCAAAACTGTGCCCATTTGACAGCTTTAGCAGTGAACTTTAGAAACCTCACCTACTTAAAAAAACCTCCATCAAGCTCGTATTGTCATACCCTTCTGCAAAGTGCTAGTAAAAAAAGGAATATTTCAATTCTGTCTAGATTAAGAAAAATAATTCATATAAGAAAAACTAATAAACCTACAGAATAAGCAATACTTTATACAACTGCAAGAGCTATAAATGTACTTTCTGTGGGGTATTTTACTGGGTTTTCCACTCCTTTACTAGGATACAAAACTGAAAGTAAGTCAAGCATAAAGAATGCTATCTCAGAGGTAACCACTTGTAGTCAGTGTGAACATTTCTGTAACTTCCTCAAAAATAAGAAAGACTGAATACTAGATGCTTGATCAGGTGTTGCTAAACCATTTCTATAGTTCTGGGGCGGCAGTGTTTTTTGTGTTCTTCTAGATGGAAAAATTACTGTATCCTCTTTTTAATTGCTTCATTTTCCAGACTTCTTCATTTTTTTTGCATGTCCAAGAGGTCAAAGACACATCAGAACAGAGAGCACAGTACAGCACATTCACCAGTGGCATACACCTGTAATCAGAAATCTGCAAACAGCTTTAAGCACAGAATTTTCTTTTTATCAGCTAAGAGGTCAACTTATATTACTTCTTGTTTGTTCAACTAAAAACATATTACAGATGCTATTTCACATATTGTTAGCTAAATAATGGTGTTTTCAGTTCAAAGCTGCATTTAACAGGCAGTGATTGTTGAGATAGACCTTCCCTGCAGAGACCCTGCCCAATGAACAGTAAATGAAAAAGGTTCCATTTCATTTATTTCATGTATCCTCTGTGGTCACAAGAGAGTTTTCAGCATCTAACAATAAAACATAAACTATGCCCTTCATCTATCTTTGCTGTTTCAGAGCAATGTAAATCCAGATGAAATACAGAAGGGAACATCCTTCCTGGCCTTTACTAGTGGCCAGCAAAAACCTTAAGCAATGAAATTAAAGAAACATACTGAAACTATAAAAAACAGTGGACCAGCTTGTTTCCCTGGAGATATTGCTATACCAGCTTATAAAATTGGTATCTTAAATGGAAATAGATAATTAACAAAAGGAGGACAATCCTATAGAATTCCTTCAGGGTAGAGAGATTGTTCTGTTAAGACTCTTCTCTATAAACCAGAAGTCATATAATGGACCAAAACTTGTTTTTGTCTGCACAGAACAAAAGTGTTACTAGAGCACAGAGAGATTTACAATGATCTCATTTCAAAGACTTGGCAGAACGATGTGTCTAGAATTCAAATCATTGTGAATTCACTCAACAATAGACAGATTATGACAAATCTGTACCTTCCCAGCCAGTAGAACTGACTGATGAGTGAATCCAGTTGGATTAGCTAGTCTTAGAAATGAAAGTTTCTATTCTTATTTATTCCTGACAATGCAACAGGATTTACTTCTCATGCTGAGGGTGAAAGATGCCAACTACAGTTGCACACCAGCAATTACTAAATATGTTTCAAATTGACCCAGGTAATCTCTCTTTGAAATTCATATTCTGGAAGTAATTGATTTGCGTATAAACAAATCAAGCAAATACTTGTTGTGAAAAAATGCAAAATGTTATCTGTGCAACAGCAGTCCTGCCAGGTGATTCTTAATCCCAGAGCAAAGTTTAGGATAAATCATGTATTTCCTCTATAAAATAATTGTATCCAAAGTTGAGGTAGGTACAAAAATAAGTGTTATGTCTCATTTAAAAGTCTTCTTTAACATTGATTCCAGTAAGTACTATCCAGTTATTATTCCTGATCAATTGCACACAACTGGGACTAATAAGGAAAGGGTCACAAATATATTTAACATTTTGCAAATCATGACTAGGAATTTATTTTTCATAATCTCATGGAATGGCTTACATTGGAAGGGACCTCAAAGATCATCTCATTCCAAAACCCCTGCCTTGGACAGGGATACTTTCCACTAGACCAGGTTGTTCAGGGCCCCATCCAATCTAGCCTTACACACTTCCAGGGATGGGACATCCATAAGTTCTCTGGGAAACCTTTTCCTGTGCCAATATATATTTCCATATTTAAGATCTGCTACAAATCTGTCTATCTTATAAACTTGCTCTTTAAATTATAGAATGTGTCATAGCTGTTTTCAATCAACTTCTTTTGTTTTTACTAGAATTAACTATTTCTTCATTCTTGTCATAGTAGTAGGCAGCTCATACCACACAGGAGGGTACTATGAGAAACTGGAGTCCTTGACTTTGTTTCAATGTGTTAACAGCACTACTCTCATCCTGAATTCAAAACACAGCACTACACCAGCTACTAAGAAGAAAATTAACTGTACCAGAGATAAAACTCGTATAATTTTCCAAGTTTATTTTCTTCAAAGGAAGTAAACGGAGCATACAGAATTACCCATAATAATAATCATCATCACCATCATCATAATGACTCCATCCTAAATCAACACCCTGACAAAATCCTGTTATCACTCTCTACTGGGCTAGCTGTCCTTTATTTAGCAATAGCTAAAGTCACCTTTTTAAAATGAGGAAAGCATGTACTGTCTATAAGAATAAAGCATATTAAACACGTATAGCAGTCATATCTTAAAATGAAATTGATGCTTTTAAACAAAGCTTTTTTTCCTCCAACTCCTTCCAAAACAGCTGAAGGGAATCTGCGCAGCAATCTCTAGAGTAATATACAAAAGCAAGACTCTAAAGCTAAATCCTTCCATCAAGACCAAACAAGAAGAGCCTTTTTCTGATCAACTGCCTTCCATTGAAGCCAAAAAATGCGGGGTGTGAATGAGGCAAAGATACTTCCAGCAAAACTAAGCCCTGGGTAAGAAAACCACACACAGTCAACTAATAACTACATAGTAGTTAATTTGGTATTTACAATGAAATAAGAGAAACCTTTCTGCACTGTTCACAGAAAATTCTATCTGCAATTTGAATTGGCTTTGCTCTGACTGTGAACAGTTACAGGGTGTCTAAATAGTGTCAATTTTGATTTGTTCAGATTCATTAGTATTTCTCTTGACCTTTTAGTCATGACAAGTATAAGGTGGAGGATCTTTTCTTGGTCTTTATGAATTTAAAGTTATCTTTTTCATATAACATGGTATTTCTGAAGGAGAATATTTTGTGTAACTTAAATGGATAAAATCCCCTTTATTTCTCCCTTCCATTTTTAGTAAATTAGCTTCTCTTTAAAGAGAAGCTTTAAAATCTTTCTCTTAAAAACTGAAATAAATCAATCAAAAATATGTGATAAGTGAATTTTAAAGAGTTGTGCTCTCTTTGATCATTTCCTTTCACTAAGATATAGGCAGTTCTGAAATGTAGAAGTGAGGTCATTATATTTTTTTATTTGATAGAAAAAGCTCCCTAAAGTAAAACTGGCACAACAGGAAACATAAGGAAAAGCCTGTATCAGTAATATATAGTCTTACAAGTGACACTTTCAGATTTCTCAAAATTAGTGCCTTCAACTAAAAAGTTATTTCAAAAATCTGATGAGACAAAAAAAGACTTTTCTAAGTAAGAAAACAGACACAAAATTGAAAAAAAAACTTGGGAAGAGACAAAAATGTAAAGCTATGCTTAATTTTTGGCTCTCCAGAGCTTGGTAACTGAAAAACATTTTATTTATTTAATTTCAATGAATGTTGATATTTAAATGAAATTATATCCCAATTGAGCTTGTATTTAAAGGAAACTTGATATTAAGCCCTTTCTTTGAAATACAAGAATCTGCCTCATTATAATACTGTACTTGTGGGAAGCAGGTGGGCAAGCTTGGAAGTGGAGACATTCCTCAGACAAAAACTGCATGAACGTTCTAGCAGTAATTACTAAGTAGTAGGAAAAAATCCAAACAATTAAGTATTACAGGGAGCTATCTGCATGATCATCTTCAGGCTATTTCTGTCAATGAACCACAGGCACATCGAGGACCAAAATTAGGAGTTCCAGAACTCAATGAAGACAGGCAGATGTTCCCTGGCCATGGGACACTGCAGTAACACAGAAAGCATTCTGGTACAAGACCTACCACAGGCTTTCCCAATAACCTCCTTTTTCAGTGTAATTCCAACTAGTGAATTCCATGACATACTAATATTGTTATACTACATAGAAATTGAGTAAGGGGACTAAGTTAGTATGCATACACTTGTAATACAAAACCAAAAATGGACAGGAGTGCTGAATGAAGGAATGAACTGTGAAGAAAAAACGTATACTCTGAAATTAAACATTACTGGAACATTCATTCTTTCAGACCACATGCACAGGGTACATGTAGTTTGTATACTAAAGAAAATAAACATACAGCAGAAATTTCTCATTCAGACAGCTCTATTGGAACAGCTGTCTACAATAATATAGGTATTTTCAAAATGCACATATGAATTTGAAACTGAATAATCTTACTGAAAAGTGCACTTGAGAGTTTGTGCCATTTTTTGCTTTGCCTAAAGTGGTTGAACAAACATGCCTCTGGGGTGTAGAGATATGGGATTGTCATTTATTTTGTTTTCAAAGCTTGTTTTTGAGGTAATTAAATCATTTGAGAACATTATGAATCAGAATCATCTCAGCTGGAAAACACCTTCAATGCCAGCAAGTCCAACTGTTAACCCAGCACTGCCAGGTCCATCAGTAAACATGTCCCTATCCATTTTTTCCCTATGTATCCTTTAAGCTACCCGAGATGATACTGATAATTTCTTACCAAATCTGAAAGGATAGATATTTTAGTGATAAGCCCCAGTAACTCTGAAGAAGGAAAACAAAATCCTAAACCCTAAGACTCAGTTAGACTATTGAGACCAACAATTCTACACCTTCTGATGAAGAACTTTAGAATCTTAGACCTGTTCAAGAAATCAGGCCTGAATATATTTCTGTGAACTTCCTGCATAGGAATGCTCTTCGCAGAGTGCAGGAAGTATATTCCAGACACAGAAAAAACCAAAATTATTATGACTAATCCATCTACGAGGTGTCTTTGCAATCTAAAAAAAATCTTTAAAATGCTGCAGATTTATATTCTAAGTTTTGATTAATATAAGCTCAATGGGGTTCTACAGAGGAAAGAGGCAAAGCTGCAATTAAAAAAAAAAACATGCAACAAACATGCAATGCAACGATAAGGAGTTGAGACTGCTTATCACTAGTGAAAACATTTTCTTTACCTCAAATGTCCACTCCTCTTCTTTTTCTCCATCCAGAAACATCTTTGTCTCCTTATACACCTTTCCTATTTCCAGTTGCAATGGAGACACATTAAATTCAATTCTTTGCAAGTTAAAGCCAATTCCAACTCCAATGGCCTTTAAGAAGCTTTCTTTTAAGGCCTAAAAGACAAAAATGTATTTTATTTATACTGACTACAAGCTGTTTTTTAAACTGCTATTTACTGCTCTATAAACATTAATTCTGAGCACACATTGCAGATAAAATAAATTTAAGACTTACACTACTGTAAATGTGAGGGTAGAGTGATGAAATTATCAAGAGAAAAAGTTATCAGCATAGTTTATACCCAGCCTAACCCGCTGCATTAAAATAAATATGCAACTGAAATTATTCAGTGGTGCATAGAGATAGAAGTGCTTTATCTTGTTCTGGCTATGTGTTTAAAACTACTAATAAATCCCATTGGAAATGTCAGCTGTAGCATGGTTCTCAAAGTTATTCTGATATTAAAATAATCACTGAAATATAAAGTCCACAAATATCTTCACATGGAAATGATACCAGGTAGCACCAGGGAGTTCAGACTGGATAACAGGAGAAACTTTTTCATCAAATGGCATTTCAAGCACTGAAACAATCTGCCCAGGGAAGTGATTGAGTGACCCTGAAATTCTTTAAAATATGGGTAGAGGTGGTGCTTAGGGACATAGTTTAGTGGTAGATTTGATGATCTTAGATGTCTTTTCCAACCTAAACCATTCTATGATTCTACGCAAATACAAAAAGATTACATTTTTACTATAATGAAAATAAAAAATTACATCAGAAAAGAACGTGAACATTTGCAGACTTTAAATAGGAAAAGAAGTATTACCCAGTGCCGATAAAACATATCCAGCTGCATCCATTCATTACTCATGGACTTGATTACATCCCACTCTGTTTCAGTAAACTGTCGCTTCATTAAGTGAAAGAAATTTGGAATTGAGCTACTACCTATAAATCAGACAGAGATATTTACAGAAATTTTAACAGAGTAGTAATAATAAGCAAATGAATTACCTCACATTATTGCTCTAGAAAAAAACTCATGAGAAAAAAAAATATTAACCAACTCTGCTTCACAATTTGAATTTATACAGCCTCAAAGCAGTGAGCTGATGGTTGTACAGGATGTAGTATTTCCAGCATTCTCTAAATGGCAAAGTATTTAACCAATGATAATTTTATATAAACATAAAAAATTTATATTCAACTACAAAAGTAGGATATATAGTCTCTGGCATCTGACAGCTTGATCTAGTAACATTTTATAAAATAGCATGCTGTTTGTCAAAATTTATCAAGCTATTCTGCCTCCCACCCTTGGACGGCGAGATACAGAAGAAACACTTTTTTAAGCACTTGTAAAAGCACAGTCTTCTGAATTTATCACACACATTTAGCTATTTGGATTGGATTTATTCTGGAAGAAAATGGGGATAGAGAGGTGCCCATAATAACAGTAAGAAATAAACCAATGGAAAAAAAAAAGTCCTCCAAAAAATCCAGCCTTAAACTACCAAACCTTCAAATCCTTAGATTAAATTTAAGATACCTCTAAAAATAATCACAGCAGAGTGGCACTGCAGCACCTCTTTGGGGGCTACACCACTTTTCCCCACTAGTCTAAATTTGCCTTCTAGAAGACACTACAGTGTGTAGCCATATTGATCAATGGCATTTCTATAGTACATTGAAATCTGTGACCCTTGTTACAAGCTTGGCTACCCATAGCCTGTGTCAATCAGTATCCCATGCAAGCATCCAAGTCCAACTGGACTTACAGGTGGCTAAAGAGACAATGGCAGAAAACAATCTCTTTTCTCTAGTAGGGATAATAAAAATCTGGATAGAGACAATTCCACATACCGAGACAAGTTCTTTGATAGGGTACTCAGCGTTCTTACTAAAAATATAACATTAGTCATATTTAATCCAAAACATTTTCCCCCTCCCTATACCACACTACTCTGAAGAACTCACTCACTAAATAATTGCTCGAGATGCAGATTCTAACTAGTTGTGCCAGTAATTTTTTTGAGTTGACTGGGCAAGGAGCTTTCCTTTTCTGTGCTTATGTTCCCCTTCAACCATGATGGGTAAAGGCATCAAGCCTTCTCCATAAAGTGGTTGTCTTCTACAGCTATGTAAGCAGTAAATTAAAACAGGTACTGGCAGCAGTAATAACTGTCCTGAACAAACCAATGTAACACTAAAGCACACGTTCAAGTTTTCTCACAATTTCCAAACCATACTGCAAAGTCTGACATACACATCCCACAAGATGTGGCAGTGACAGTTCAGAGATGCCCTCAATGGCATTTTAAAGAGAACATCTTAAGACAGAATTTTGTTGACAGTTGAAGCACTAAGCTATGCATGGAATGATCCAGAACAGTCTAAGGATAGGACTACCTTCCCTCTGGAGAAAATAAAGTAGAAGAAAAAAGCAACCACAATGTTAAGTATGCCTTGATGAAGTACCGAGGCAAAATTCCACAATCCAGCTTCCCTGAAACAAAAGAAAAAAATGTTGAAGTTGGAGAAGGGTATTTTCTTTCCTCTCTGGGTTTGTATGGCCCATTTTACAATCAAATAACTCCATTAACACCTGCTCTAATCCACTTCTTTCTCCCCCTTCTCTCTTTTCTTGAATATTTAAGACAACAGTGGTGAGGTTCCAGCTTGTTCTTGTGATTCAAACTACAAAACATTCCAGAATGTCCTGGTGTACCTTTCCTATTACTTTCAGAGAGCTCTCTTCCTTTCAATAACCCAGGACTACCAGAGAAAACCACCTAAGACTATTCACACTACACTACCTTCAGCATGCAGATGTATATAAAGGCTCCAGCTTCATCAGTCCTGCCACCACAGCTTTATCACACGTGGTGAATATACTTGATGCTTAAACCATTGAGTACAACAAGTGCATATCAAACCCATATGCTACTACTTTCTTCCTCATTGTTCACCCCTTTTCCTGTCCTAGGTATCTTCAACTGTTCAGCTACCCTTCTCAGCACTCAAGTTCAAATTCACACAGCACTTTCCCCTCCATTTCCACCGTCTATCAGTTGCTCCTTTGAGAAGCTCGGGCACCCCTTTGTCCTTAAGTGCACTTACTCCCTGTTTCCTAAGGCAGTACAGTTGCTTGGCTCTGAGGAGTGCATCAGGAGACTTAGGACTCCTATTCTCCACAAGCTACCTGCAGTTCCACAGCCTGCCTAGTCCTTTCTCCATATGTGCTTCAATATCAGAGAAAGACAGATTCACAGAACCATGGGGAATGTGTAGGTTGAAAAGGACCTTTGCAGACCACCTGGTCTAACCCTCTGTTGAAAGACAGAGCCTTATGTTGGGTTACCCAGGGCTCTGTCAAGCAGAGTATTTCACCCCTTCTCTGGGGAACCTGGTCCAGTATTCTGCTGTTCTCATGGTGCAGACTTGTTCTACAGAGACAGAACTCCCCCTGAAGCAACCTGAGCCTGCTGCCTTTTGCCCTGTTCCTGTGCACCCTCATAAAGACAACTATGAACATCCTCTCTGCTGCTACTGCTACATTTCAGGGAGGCTGTGATTAGGTTCCTCTCTTCAGAACTTTCACCTTCTCAGGTTCAACAAACACAGCTCCATCAGCATTTCTTTGTCAGTGAAGCTCCCCAACCCTCTAACCACCTTGGTGGCCCTTTGCTAAATCCCCTTCAATTTTCCCTTTGCCTCTCATGACATAGGAGATATGAAGGGGACAAAACTAGAAGCAGCAGAAAGTTTATGTTTAAATGCTATGTTTTTTGCTTTTAGTTTGATTTAAAAAAACAGCCACAAGTTACGGCCAACTACTTGCCACAATTTATAAAAAACTTCATTTGAAAGAACTGGAACAAGTCCATATAGCAATTAATTATTTGGTTTTAAATTTGCAATTCTAAAGTAGCTCCCCCTTGTCAAGTTGTTTCAGAAATAAACTGACTTCTTAAGTAAGTACTTCTTACTTGCCTGTGTCAGGAAATAGAGTTCTTCAAAATAACAAACTAATTTGTTTTAATGCTGAGCATTAATCATACTGCTGTCTCTGATTTTAAAATACATGCCTTGTTAATCAACTTTTAAGTACATCAGCTCCTTAAGAATATAAACTGAGTAATCTTTCAAACATTGCATTCTAGTCATTATAAATAAACCCTAAACCCTTTTTCAAGTTAAGTTTCTTCATTAAATTAAAAGCACACAACACCCTGGAAATTTCAGGAAGAGTAATGAGAGGAAATAGTGAGTGATACTGGAAAAAAGACTCCAATATTAAGCCTGTAAAGTAAACATGCTATATACAGGTAAGTGTGTGTGTTCCTATGCGTGCATATGTGTCTGCATTTTGGATTTTTTGCATGAACTATTTACATTAATACATAATACCATGTTTTCCACTGCAATGACAATTGAGTTTTTGTTACACTTTTTTAAAGACTAGACAAAAATATGCTTTGCATTTTCCCTGTAGAACAGAAATGCCACAGACCAGATATAAAAGACTGAATTTAAAAAGAGGCAGGAGTGAAAAATAAGAAAACAGACTATATTCTCTAGTCCTGTTTGCAAATGTACTGTAGAAATAGCACATAAATACACTGTAATTTCCCCCATTTTTCTGCCTGCTAAAGAATCCCAACAAACTATATTTGTAGGAAGATAAAGGCAATCAGAATTAAGATCCATATAAATTCTGATGCTATTAATAGTGAAAATTACAATCTATAAGGCTAATAAAGAAATTTTTTACATTTTTACAAACATCAGGTTAATCTTAAGTCAGCTTTGGTAACACAGTGTATACTTCACAAAGGCAGGGTACAAACTTGTATCAAAAATTATTATAACCATGCCAGGCATTCTCAAAAACAATGAGAAGAGTAGATGACCAACCATCTTCACTTCAGGTTTTATGAGTTTACAGTCCTCAGCTTGGTTTGGTCAGATCCAAACAACCTAGCTTATAAAGCTACTACTGCCAGTTCATTGATCAACTAATCTCCCGAAAAAACACAACAAACAAACAAAACCAAACCCAAACAAACACCCAAAACAAAAATATGACAGAAATCCCAGAATGCAAACACCCTCCTCACCAACCTGAACTGCATAAAAGAAAGAGGTCAATGACTCAGAAGTAATATCTAATCAATACGATCAGTTCACTTTCAGATGGAAAACAGGCAAAGTGGCAGTGTGACACCTCATACACAGCAAAACAAACAACTGAAGCGGGAACAGCTCAGTCTAAAATATGAAACCCAAATGTGAACCTAAAATGTGAAACACAAGATAGCTATGAAGCTTCTAAACTAACCAACTGTATTGGATGGATGGTTCAAGTCCTGGATGCTTGGGCTGACAATCCTTTTGGTGTACAACCATATTTGATCACATTTTACCATCTCTAAAGGAAACCAAAGAAACCTGATACAGAGAAAACATTTCTGTGCAACAGATGCCCAAGCCCTAATTGTTTATTAATACCAACTAACCCTTGTACAGACATTTAGAAACAACACAAGACAAATAATTAGTGAGATAAATGAGTAACTTACAAGAACCAGATAGAACATTAACAATTCATGTTTTCTCAATCTAACAGCTCACACAGCTTTTGTGTGAATTGGAAATTGGATTTAGATTCTCTGACCTCCACACTTCCTGTTGGTATCCCACAATTCTCCCAATTATATGTATGTTAAACATCTATTCTCATCATGTTAACTTCCATGTGTTTTATCTTGGCATATCCCACAGAAGCACTAACTCTAAAATGCCTGAAAATTTGACATTGCCCCCTTTGAATTACCCAACATCTTCCACATTATAAAAATGTCAATCTGGAAAATTCAGCTATAAAGACACTGAAATAATTTGATAATGTTTGATATTTTCTCTGCAAATAGCATCATTAAGTCTCT